CACAGCCACCTCCTTGCAAATGTTTGCAGGGTAAGGTGGGGCTGCAGTGGAGAGTCGTAGGCACGTGGTTACTGTCTACTGGATCCGGGGGTACAGGTCATATATATATATATATATATATATATATATATATATATATATATATATATATATATATATATATATATTATAATAACATATATATATATATATATATATATATATATATATATATATATATATATATATATATATATATATATCCACACTTTTTTTGCAGGATCGCCTCACACCTCTGGATGTTCTTCCCAGCCACCGCCGCAGCAACAGACAGCAGGGCGCGGCGGCTTCAGCAGCAGCGGCACTGAAAGCAGCAGCCTTCCTCGGGCAGCAACGAACCCCACCTTCGGCAGCAGCGGGACCACTGGCCTTGGGCAGGGTGCCTCTGGGGGAAGTGGGTATGGGTCCAGCAGCACCCCTAGCCGTGGTGCCTACGGCAGCAATAGCACGCGTTTTTCCGGTGCCAAAAGCATTTCTTCTGCTCAATACTTCAATCAGGAAGAGAGGTATGGATTGTTGCGTACAATGCAGCTTGCATCCCAGCCCGTAGATGTATAACTGCTGGAGCGCACGTACAGCAGGTTTGCTCTGGTTGAGAGTTTTTTTTCTAGAAGACATTATTGTGCCTGCTGTTGCTTAGCCCTGTTCCTGTGTATATGCAGCTCTCCCCCAGTGGCCCCTGTGCCCGTCGACCCGTCGCGGAGGGCCATCGGCTCGGATGAAGTTTTCGGGCGGAGCAACAGTGGCAGAAGGGTGAGAAACTTCGCAGTTCTGCTTGCTTGCATTGTTGCATGCTTCTCAATTTGTACATGTGGAGCGACGTGAACGTTGTTATATACATCATGGATGCCGGGATTGCCTCAGAAGCATGTGACGCATGACATATTCAAAGGCTGTATATTAACATTGGATGCATTCATAACTGTGTTTGAGTTTCACATAACAATAGTTGCCAGCTATTGTTGAGGTGATTGATGCTTCTGAATTGTGCGGTTGCAGGGGTGGG